TCACAGGAGCCGAGGACACCGGGTTGTTTTGTCCCTTTGCTGCGTGTTCAGAATCCAGGGAGGAGGGGTCTTGCTGGCCTGGCCACCTTGTGAAGCCGAGCGTCAGCCAGGGGTCCCTGAAGCGTACTCCCTGCACTTTGCACAGTGTGGAGAGTGACCCCTCCAGGACCCAAGGAGAGGGGCGTGGTGACAGGGCCGCCCCATGGGCGCATCTGCCCGTGGGTGTACATGTCACAGCACGCTTGCTCTCGGTGGTAACCAGTACTTCTGTGATCTGGTCCCAGCATTGTCGGTTACGGCGTCCAGTTCCCAAACCAGTCTCTGGGGGGTGGGTTTCAGTCCCCCTCCCCGTGCCATCCCCATCTCCACCCTCACACAGCCCGGCCCTGTGCTGTGGGAAGTGATGCCCAGCCTCTGTGGCTTCTCTAAGGGCTGTGCCTGTGTCCTGCTCTGGCTCTCGCCCCTTGGTGACAGCTTAGACGTTGAGCAGATTTTAAGTGAGGGGGTTCGTGAAGGCTTGGAGGATTGCATCCAAAATATACAAAGTACTCCTGGACTCCCACCCCCGAGGGAAGGCCACAGCGTGGAGTCTGTGTACGTGTACAGGCGGCCCTGGGATTCTGTCATCTGTCCCCTCGTTAAATGAGATGCTGATGTGCAGAGAGCCGCGAGCTCTCTGTGCTAAGCAAAGGGCAGTTGTTATTGGTGTTGAGGGCTACGCCTCTGCCGATCGGCGTGGCATTGGGCACGTGGCTGGCCAGGGAAGGTGGCAGCTGGCGGGCGAGCGGTGTGGCCTCATTGTACCTGCTTTCCCGTTCCTGCTGCCTGTGCTATTACGGAGAGCTTTCTGTTCCAGCTTTCAGCCCAGTAGCCCATGGCTGGGTGCCTTGGGTCTCGTTAGCTAAGCTCGTAGGAGGGCGCTTCAGAAAGTTTGTGGAAGAGTGGCCTTGAAAGGTCAGCGCATCTTGCTGTGAGCTTTTTTGAAGTCCTTGCATTTTTTCATGATATGTAAATTCTGTGAATTTTCAGGATATGTGAATTCTGTAAAGTCCCCGAGGATTCCCCGCCTGGGTATATTCGTGGGTGTCTGGGGTGTTCCAGGTTTCGTTGTTGAAGGGAGCAGGTTGCAAACCTCTAAACCTGTGCATGCACAGCTCCACGCGTGGTTCTGAGCGCGTCTGTCTGGGAGCGGCAGAGGCAGAGCTGAGCTGGGGGCCTGCGCTTGAAGCTGATGGGCCCTGCAGAGCCCCCTAGGAGCAGCCACCAGCCCCGTTCAGGTCCCCGGGCAGGAAGCGAGCTCGCCCGTTGATACTGCCGACTTTGTCGTCTTTGCCAGTCTGGGTATGACGTAGAGTTGTGGTGCTTGTTATCTGGTGTTTGTGTTACTCTGTGATGTCATTTGTTTTGCAATACACCACTCAGCGCAGGTTTCCATTACAAAATACATTGAGCCTGGCGGCCTCAGCAACAGGAATCCGTTGCTCACAGCCCTGGAGTCCGGGGATTCCAAGGCCGAGGTGCCAGCTGGTGGGGCTCCCTGGGAGAGCTGTGTCCCTGCTCTTTGGCAGGGGCGTCCCTTCTTGGGCACCACCTCCAAGTGCGATGCTGCCAGGGCTTTCTGGGTGTCGTGGGTGTTGGGGGGAGGGGCAGGATGCCCCGGGTTGGAGAGGGGGCTTGGGGATGTCGTTTGCCCATGTCCCCAGCTGGGATGTACCGTGTATGGGACCTGGTCTTGTCACAGCACCCTTGCCGGGTTCAGACTGTGGAGTTAGAGGTGCGTGCTGCACGGGTGGGTGGCCTCGGAAGGAGTGGGCTGCGCAGGTGGGCGTGTACAAGTTCACCTACCCACGATGCATGTCCAGCGGCAGCCGCAGCTCAGCCCAGCCCTCAGCAGGCCTCCCACTGCTGAGCCACGCCGGACTGGCTTCGTCTTGGTCCCAGACAGCTCCCAGACAGACATGTCCATCTTTGGTTTCTCCTTTGCCACCGACTGACAGCGGTCCTGTTGGTTAGTGCTAATGCAGGCACGTTCTGTCTCAGAGCCCTAAACGGTCTCCCCAGGCTTCCTCCCCAGAAGACCCTCGCCTGCCGGCAGAGCAGGCGCAGGTGGTGACGTGGCCAGGACGGCGAGTGGCGCAGGCCAGAGGCTGACTCACAGCTGGAGGCTGCCCCCGACCATCCTCCCCTTGTTTTCCCTTCGATTTGTTTTTCCTTTCTCTGTTTTTCTCCTTCCTTTCTGTTTTTCCAGTTTTCCTCTGTTCCTGGCCGGGCGCTCTAAAAACACGACTCTGGAGCCTGCGGTTGGACTCCCGCCCAGGGGACCCAGATGGAATTTCAAGTCACTGCCCGTAGCTCAGCTCCCACTGAGAGAGTTCTTGCGACTACAGCAGGGGGGATGTGGCTTTGTGTTTTCTGTCCTCACTTCGGCAGCAGGAGGCTGGACTCAGGGTGGGATTAGCTGTAGGAAGGGATTTGCAGTGTAGCTGTGTGTCTAACCCACACGCGACAGCTGTGTCCCCGTGCTCTGCAGAGCAAGAGCAGGAGCAGGCGGGCGTCCCCAGACGGGACCGAAACTCATGCTTCCGTCTTTGGTCGTCTACGCAGATCTCCTGCCACCAGAACGCCACCCCGGGTGAGCTGGTTTCTCCTCAGTCTGCGCTTCCCTTTGCCACCAATAGCGTGAGCAGAGACGGCCTGTGAAGTGGAAGCAGGGGTCCCGGAGCCGGGGCGGCTCAATCTGGTGCTGTCGCTGCCTCTTGCTGGCCTGAGACCACACAGGCTCTGTCTACTCCCTGTGGCAGGAGCAAAATAACACCCCCACACACACCCAGGATGGCCGGGCAGGTGGGCAGAGGGGCGCTGGGGAGTGTGGCTAGTGCCAGCTCTCCCCCTGCCGCCCAGGAGCCAGTCCACGTGCACCTGTGCCCTCAGAAGGCACAGCCAGCCACAGTTCTTCCTCGTCCTGGCACATGTGAGGTGGTCAGGCTGCCGGAGAGGGGCCCTGGGACAGCAGGGACATCTTCCCTCAGGATTTCCGAGCCCCACGGTCCAGACCCGGTGTGGCCAGGCCCGTGTCACTTCCAGCCTCTTTCAGCTTCCGGCGGCTGCGTGGCTGCGGTCTCTGCCCTGGCGACCCCGTGGCCCTCTCCGCATGTGCACCTGTTCTTTGGGGCCTCACGAGGACTCGGCCATCAGATTCAAGGCAGCCCCCTCCATGCCTGCTCTGCCAGTTTGGGGTTAATGAGCCAGGGCATGTTGAGGAGGAGGAGGAACAAAGGCCTGAGTTTTGTTTGGTTGTTTTGTTTTTTGGATCAGCAGGCAAAATGCCCCTCTCCTGGTGCCTGGCCCAGTGAGATGAGCTGAGTGCACCTGCTCACCAGGCTGTGCTGTGCCCACGCCCCAGCTGCCCTGCCAGGGGTCACCACACCCTCCCCCTCTCTTCCCACTCTCACCCACTCCTGCAGGCTGGCCCAGTATCACCTGGCACTCACCTGGCTCAGCTCAGGGCCCCCACTGACTTCAGCCTGCAGGGGTCCCTACACCTCTGGTGTGAGAGCCCGCAGCCATCTTTTACCTGTCTTGCCTCAGGGACTCCCTGAGCCTTCCAGAACCCAAGTGAAGCTGCAGAGGTTGTCCAGAGACCAGTGCATGAGCACTGGGGTGTGGTGGGAGCAAGGTGGCTTCAATCAACAAGGCCATGGCTGTGGGGTGACTGCCTCCCTGGGGCCCCGGGCCATCCCAAGACCGCAGCCCTGGCTGCTGGAGACAACAGCTGCTGCTCCTGGTGACCTGGGTGCCCTCTGAGCCCTGAGCCTTGGCCATCAGTGGCCACAGCAGCAGGTGCAGCAGACCGGTCTCTCTGTTCACCCATGCAGAGGGGAGGTGACCCTGGGTGATCTCGCTGCCCAGGGCACTGTGGGGCTGGAAGGAGAGCACCACGCTACAAGGCTTTTGTGCTCCGGGCGGGGCTGTGCTATGGAGAACAGTGTTGCGTGTCAGATGTAGCCTGTGGTTCTTTGAAAACCCTGCATTCTAAGGAAAGTGATAAAGTCGTTCAGGAACCCACAGGTAAGGACACCCCTGGAGAGCAGCTGGAAGCTGGGGAGTGGGGAGTACTAGAACCTGGGGTTGCACCCTGCTGCCGCCGCGGGATCGGACGGATGCCTGTCTCTGAGGCTGCTCCTTCTGGGTGTGAGACTGGCTGGCAGTGAGCAGCGCTGCTGTGTTGACGCGAGCTGACAGGTGTCGGCTGCCATTGAGAGTTGCCGCTTAATGACAGCTGTGAGCGTGACTGCCCAGGAGGGGCAGCCAGGCCCTGAGAGGAGCCACAGATGCTGCCCAGCACATGGTGGCCGCCGCACAGGGCTTGGTGTGCAGGTGCAGGCTCTGCCGGTCCAGGCCACTGGTGTGGATGGAGGCTGCTTTGCTCCAGGTCCTCAGGGGCCCAGCCCAGGCTGCAGCTGGAGCTGAGAGCAGGTCCCCGCAGGGCAGGGGACACACACCCCTGCTCTGTGTCTGCACCACGGCTCTCTGGGAAAGGAGGCAATCGGTTGGTAACACTGCAGAGTGGACAGGACTTTTAACTTCCTGACACTTTCACCTCTGTGAATTTCCCGTGGAAGCCGGAAATGATGGTTTTAGCTTCTCACACATGTTTATTCAGCTCTGAGCCTGTGCACTCAATAACCTAACTCAAGTGTCCCTGCACCCTGTGGGGTAGCGACCTGCCTGTCCCCAAACACAAGGGACCTCGGAGAGGCCCAGACAACCCCCTCTCCTTGCTGGAATTGGGGCGGGGTAGACCCCAACCCACCTGGCCCTCCTGGAACCTTCACCTTGAAAGGGAAGTCTGACCGGAAGTAATGGCTGATCAAGGCCGTGAGGCACAAAGGCCGGGCAGTGTCGGTCCACCCTGCTCTGCTTGTGGGGCACATGGGCCCGGCCCAGAGCCGGGGTGGCACGGAGCAGCCTTGGGTCCCTAATGGCCTCTGTCTCTGCAGGTCCCGCAGCGGATGGCCGCGGCGGCTGAGGCTGCCCCAGAGGACAGCGGCGGTGCCCCAGGCGTGTGGGGAGCCTGGGGTCCCTGGTCCGCCTGCTCGCGCAGTTGCAGCGGCGGCGTGAAGGAGCAGACGCGGCCCTGCCTGCCCAGCCTGGCCCACGCCCCGACGCGTGCCTTCGCGGGCCGCGTGCTGTCGGCCGTGCGCACCTCAGTGCCGCTGCACCGGAGCCGCCAGGAGCTGCGCGCCGCGCCCGGCCCCGACTCCGGCCGCCAGGGACCCGCCGCGCTGCGAGGCAGCCGGCACTCGCAGGCCCCGCGCGGCGGCGGAGCCCCAGCAGAAAGAAGGTACGCGCCCCAGCCCGATGCACCTGCCCCTGTGCCTGCGTCCCGCCCGCGCCGCTGCGCCTGCGTGGAGCCCCCTCTGCCTCTGTCCAGTGCCACTGCGCATGCCCGGCGCTCCTACACCTGCACCCCTACCCCTGCCCTTGGCCGCTGTGCCAGCCCTGAGTCCCCGGCGTCTCTACCCGCCCTCTGCCCCGCCCTTGCCTGTGCAGGTGTGCCTGTTCCGAGCCCCTGCCCCTGCCTCAGATGCGCTGCCTCTGCTGGGTGGCGAGGACTCTTGCCACCTATAGCCCCTTTTATCTTGTTTTATTTTGCTTTAAAAGCTTGGTTCCACTTCATCTGCGGATCTGAACACTCTTCAAAGCCACGCTAATTATGAGACACGTTCGGTGTCACCAGGGAAGGGTGTAAGTGGTGGTGGTGGGGGCCTTGTTTCCAGCGCTGGCCTGGCCACAGGCTGTGTGGGGCTGAGCTGACGACACAGGAGGCAGAGCTGTCTGACCCGAGGGCTGTAGAGGTTGCTAGACTTTGGGTAAAGGTGAGTGCAGTCTTGGGTGGGTTCCAGTACCCATGAGCTTTTCTGGAAAGTTCCTCCAGAGTATTTGCGTGCACACTGTTATGAAGATGTGTTTTTTTCTTCTATTTTATTTATTTATTTTTTGACAGGCAGAGTGGACAGTGAGAGAGAGAGAGAGACAGAGAGAAAGGTCTTCCTTTTGCCATTGGTTCACCCTCCAATGGCCGCCGTGGCCGGCACGCTGCGGCCCCGGTGCACTGCGCTGATCCAATGGCAGGAGCCAGGTGCTTATCCTGGTCTCCCATGGGGTGCAGGGCCCAGGCACTTGGGCCATCCTTCACTGTACTCCCGGGCCACAGCAGAGAGCTGGCCTGGAAGAGGGGCAACCGGGACAGAATCTGGTGCCCCGACCGGGACTAGAACCTGGTGTGCCGGCGCCGCTAGGCGGAGGGTTAGCCTAGTGAGCCACGGCGCTGGCCTTTTTCTTCTTCTTTTTTTTTTTTTTATAATCAAGAAAAATACACCCTAGAAATGGCTCCAGAATAGCGGGTGCAGCTCTGGGAGGTGTGAATGTGTGAGCAGGGAGTTCCACAGAAGCAGGAACGCGGGCTGAGAGGGCTCCCCCACGGGTGCCGCGAGGGCTCCACGCAGCATTGCCTGTTGGGTCCCTGGTGGGCTCTGAGGAAATCCTTGTCAGAAAAGCAGTAGGAAACAAGGGATACAGAGGACACAGAGAGCCAGGGACACGCCCCGTGCTTGAAGGATACTTGCGTGAGTGTCCGGCCAGGGTCATGCCTGTCCCGAGTGAGGGGCTGCCTCACCCTCGTGCCCAGGTGCAGTTGCGCCACGCTGCCGCACACCTGTCCACTGCACCGGTGGACGGAAGAGAGGAGGAGAGAACAGGGAACTCCAGGGCCTGGCAGGAAGGGTGAAGAGAGAGGCCAGCGGGCAGGGGTGCGGCTGTGTTCTCCTCCTCCTGCGTGGCGAGCCAAGCACCCCAGTCGGCCCGGGCTGGGGCTTCTGCTTCTCCTCCTGTGGCTGGACGTGTGTTTTCCCCATCACCCCAGCCACAGCACTGCAGCCTTCAATTCAGAGCTGTGCCAGTGTTAGGGAGGGAGTCCGGGCGTATTCCACAGATTAATGGTATTCTGGCCATGGCATGGAGGCACCCGTAACCAAGCGCATTGTCGCTTCTGCAGTGAGACGAATGGATGAGTGATCACGCCCAGTAGGATTAAAAAAAAAAAAAGCCATGAATAGCCTTATGTCCGTTAAGGTCAGCTTTACTGCCCAGTGAGTTTTGCAACCAAACTGACAAAAGCGTGGAAACAAAAGGAAAGAGAAGAACCTGGTGATTGATGACAGCTCAGTCTTGGGAATGCCTGTTCTGCGGGGGGACCTCACGCCGTGCACCGGTAGCTCTGTGCTAACATCATCCTTGCTTTAGCAGTGAGGGGCTGGAGCCCCAGAGAGGTGGCCTCACTGGCCCTTTGCCACAAAATCGGGATTCAGACACAGGTGGTCATGGCTCTGGGTGTCCCCCGAGGAACGTGGGGGGCCTAGGTGGTAGCAGAACTGTCTGGAGACCCTGGGAAAGCTGGGATTTGAAGGTGGTGCAGCGGCTCTCAGGTCCCGGCCAGCGCCAGCGTAGGCAGGGCAGGGGCAGGTGGCACTAGTGGTGAGAGCGTGGGAGAGCCACCGGAGGACGAGGCTCCCATTCCAGCCCCTGCTCTGGGACAGCTGGACATTTTTCCCCTCGCTTATTGACAAGGGGCCAGTTACTGTTTACTGTGCAGTTCCTACAAGTCTCTATCCCTGTCCTGGCAGTTTGACAGTTTCGGGTGAAGCGATCCAAATACCAGCCTGGGAGGCCTGTGCTTGACATATGTCCTGTTTCCGGCGGAGGGACCTCACTCACACTCGCTTCTGTGGCCCCATCATTAAGACCCTGCACGGCGGATTAGACCCCAAGAAGCAGTGTCAGCGTGTTCTCCGCATGGCTGTCTGCCTCTCTCTGTTTCTCTTTGAGGTCTGATGCAAGGGCTGTTGGTGTTCGGATGTCTGAGAGAGATGAACTTGCTGTGCTCATGCGCTAGTCAGCTAGCAGGTGATGCTGTTTGACCTTCCTAAGCTTTGCAACTGACCACGTAATTGCAGTCAGCTAACGAGTGGAAGCATTCCACCTTCCAGCTAGGATTTATGGAGCTTCACTACATGGTCAGACTCTGGGATAAATATGTGGGACTCGAGGCTCTTCCTAGCAGTGTGGCGAAGCTGTTTGTAAACTGACGGTTATGTTTTTAAGCCTAAGAATCGCTTCTGCATGGTCATAGGCGCAAGCTTGGTGTAACAGGCACCAGCTGGCGTGCTCCGCTGTAGGAGCTAGGGGTTGGATCCAAGTGGAGCAGAGGGTTCCAGCCTTGGCTGACCGCAGGAATCCTTTGCCCTTATTTTAGGGATTCTGCCATCCATGTAACACCCCACACCAACAGTAGCCTCTGGGGTTCTCCCTCAGACAATGGTGGGATCCCAGTCCAGCCAAGTTTTGGGGCCCCTGGTCTTTACAGCCTCAGGTTCCCATAGAAAGAAATGTTGGGGTTGGATACTGGTTGGTAGGGTTTCCCAACTTTGGTGAGCATGTTTCGGGATCTCTCAGGTGGGCATGCACTGGAATCTCCGACAGCACATGTGTGTCAGGGTCTCTTGCAGCGGGTTAGAGCGGCCAAGGTCCCCATCTCTACCCTGCCCAGGGGGATCCTGGTTTGGAGGCTGTGGATGTGTCCCAGGTAGTCTGTTTTACTTGGAAAATTTTAAATTTTCATTTTCTTATGACGGAGAGTGGGGACTGAGCACACTCCCACTGCTGGTTCACTCAAATGCCTGTAGTGCCTGCGGCTGGCAGGCCAAAGCTGGGCGCTCCATGTGGGTCTGCCACTGCCACCTCCCAGGGAGTGCAGTAGCAGGAAGCTGGGCTGCGAGGGGGTCCTTTCACCTGCAGCATGAGCATCACCGTCCCGACCTGTGTGGGGCATCTGTGTCGCTCCCTGTACGAATGACAAACTCCAGAGCAGAGGGCAAATGTCTTCTTCAGGGACAGGCAAGGCAGGCCACATGGTCAGTGTAGACCCAGCTCTGCACTGCTTCCCACTCTCTCGTGCCTGCCCCTCCAGAAAAAGTTAAAGGTAACACTTGCTCATGAAGCCAAACTGGATAAACCAACACCTCTTTATGTGATATGGAAAAGGAAATCTTTCTGGACTCTTAATCCCAAAGCTTTTATGATACATAGCCACTCCGAAACTGGCTGTACCATGGGCTCCAATTTCTTGTGGGGAGCTTTTAAGGCCACCTCAGAAACTCAGGGCTTCATTGACAGAGGCAACTCAGATATTACTTTGTGTTTCCTTTTTTTTTTTTTTTTTACAGGCAGAGTGGACAGTGAGAGAGAGAGAGACAGAGAGAAAGGTCTTCCTTTTTTTGCCGTTGGTTCACCCTCCAATGGCCGCTGCAGCTGGCGCGCTGCAGCCGGCACATCACGCTGATCCAGAGCCAGGAGCCAGGTGCTTCTCCTGGTCTCCCATGCAGGTCCAAGGCCCAAGCACTTGGGCCATCCTCCCACTGCCTTCCCTGGCCACAGCAGAGAGCTGGACTGGAAGAGGGGCAACCAGGACAGAATCCGGCGCCCTGACCGGGACTAGAACCCGGTGTGCCGGCGCCACAAAGCAGAGGATTAGCCTATTGAGCCACGGCACCGTCCTGTTTTTACTTTTTTTTTAAAGACTTATTTTATTTATTTGAAAGACAGAGTTACAGAGAGAGGTAGAGACACAGAGAGAGGTCTTCCATCCACTGGTTCACTCCCCAGATGGCTGCAATGGCTGAAGCTGAGCTGATTCAAAGCCAAGATTCAGAAGCTTCTTCTGAGTTCAGGGACCCAAGCACTTGGGTTGTTTCCACTGCTTTCCCAGGCCATTAGCAGGGAGCTGGATCAGAAGTGGAGCAGCTGGGACTCAAACCAATGCCCAACTGCACTCACTGCGCCACAGTGCCAGCTTCTTGATTCTGTTTTTTTTTTTTTTCAAAATATTTGTTTATTTTTTTGAAAGGCAGAGTTATAGAAAGGTAGAAGCAGAGAGAGAGAGAGAGACAGAGACAGAGAGAGAAACGGAGGGAGAGAGAGAGAGAGAGAGGTCTTCCATTGCTGGTTCACTCCCCAGTTGGCCACACCAGAGCTGGGACAATCTGAAGCCAGGATCCAGGAGCTTCTTCCAGATCTCCCATGCGGGTGCAGGGGCCCAAGGACTTGGGTCATCTCTACTGCTTTCCAGGCCATAGCAGAGAGCTGGATCGGAAGAGGAGCAGCCGGGACTTGAACTGGTGCCCATATGGGATGCTGGCACTGTAGGTGGTGGCTTTACCCGCTATGCCACAGCGCCGGCCCCTTGATTCTGTTTTACGTGCATCTGATAGCCACCTGGTGCAGTGT